GATTTTTTTACTTCACAAATGCTGCCAGAGCTGCTGAGCTTTTCCAGCAACTTCTGTTTTTGTTCCTGATTTACAGCATCCACAGTTCTTTCAGTTTTCATAAAGGAAGAATCCTTGAGAAGGACACGCATTCTGCCAAAGTTAGTACATACTCAGAATGCTGCATCCAAAGAATGGTAATCGCAGACTGAGAATGTTAAGTGAAAATATAAATGGTAAGCTGAAGTTTTTGAAAGATTAACACATTAACTTTAACAAAAACATACCTATGGGTGACACAATGTGTATTTATGTAGCACCTTCAACGTAAAAATATTCCAAGATACGACACAGGAGCATTACAACACAGGTTTAATATTGAGCCAATAAAGAGATATCAGAACAGGTGAGTAAAAGCTTGATGTAGTGTGTAGGTTTCAAGGAGTATTTTAAAGGAGGCAGGAAAGGTCAAGATGAGGGAGATTTGAGGAAAGAATGCGAGAGTTAATCGGAGTAAAGCATCTGAATGCATGACTAACAATGTGGAATGATTAGAATGAGGGATACCCAAAGATGGAGTTAGAGGAGTGTCGATATTTTGGAGGGCTGTGGAAATGGAGATCTCAGAGTTAGTCAGCAATGAGACCATAGTGAGATTTGAAAATAAGGATGAGAATTTCAAAATGGAGAAATTGCCTAAATGGGAGTCAATGAAGGTCAGGCATAAGTAAACAGTACTTGGTATGAGGTAGAATGTGGACAGCCAAACTTTGGATGATCTCAAGTTAAATCTAATATTATTGTAATTTGTAACTATTTGATGTTATTGTTTTGTTTAAAACTCCATTACCTTCATCATCATTGGTTGTTCCTTAAATCATTAAATTTGATCTGTGATATTTTTCATTGCTGTCACTTTGAGCTAGTTGCTAATTCTGCCAATGTGATACTGGGTAAGGATTGGTTGAAGTAGCTTGCTCTCACCAATTCTCCTTTGACTTCACTTTGTCTTGGGCCTATTTAGCAACTAGTGGTACAGGGGACATCACAGTATAGTATCGATGGAATAGGCACTGTTCTTAGATACCAAAAGGATTTATTGCACGATAGTAATAAACAAACTATCTGTCTTTGGTCAGACATAATTACAAGAGTATTAGACAGCTGGTACAAGATCCACCTGCTCTCTCTGAAAGCTAGAGTACGACTTATTGTTTCTATCTTAGTGATACATAATCAGAATGGGTGGCGTTCAATCAAACAAGAACATTAACTCCTTCAAAACCATTACTTTATATGACATCATTCATGACTTCAAATCACGATTCACCCTTCTCCTAAGACCACATCGGAAGCACCATATGCAATAGATTAGGTTGGAGGAGATGCAGGTGAAGCTCTGTCTCACTCTGGTTGGAGTGGTTGGTGGGGAGTGTGACCTGAACTAAGGAGTGGCGAAGGGAATGGTTCTCGTGGAAGATGTTCTGCTGGTGGTGTCTAATTGAAGTTGGTGGAAGTGTTTGAGGATGATATGTTAGATGTGGAGGCTGGTGGAGTGGAAAGTGAGGACAAGGGGGAATCCTATCGTTATCATGTTTGGGCGGGGGGGGATGGTTGAGAGCTGTGGAGTGGGGAATGGAGGCGGCGCAGTGGAGGGCTGTCTGGATGATAGAGGGGGAAAAAGAGCGTTGTTTGAAAAAGGTGGACATCCAGGATGCTTGCCAGTGGAACGTCTCCTCGTCAGAGCAGATGTGACGAAGATGGAGGATTGGGAAAACGGGATGGAGTTTTTGCAGGATATGGGGTGGGAGGAGTTGTAGTCTATGTAGCCATGGGAGTCTGTGGATTTATAGTAAATGTTGGTCTGTAAACTGTTGCCAGAAATGGAAACTGAGGGGTCAAGAAAGGGAAACGAGGTGTCTGAGATAGACCAAGTGAATTTGAAGGCAGGGTGCAAGTTGTTAGCAAAGTCGATGAACTACTCTAGTTAAGCCTGGGTGCAGTGGCTCAGAACACAAATTTGAAGAACAACACCTTATCTTCCAACTGAGCACCCTACAGCCCAGAAGACTCAACAATGAGTTCTCCAATTTCAAATAACCTTGCCACCTATCCCCTGGCTTCCCATCCAGCCCCACCTTCTACCTTCCAGCCACCAACTGGATTCATCCCGCCCATCGACCAACTAGGTCGTACCTACCACCAGTGTCCACCATTCACCACCATTCCATCTCCCCCCCCCTTTTTATGTACAGCTCCAACTACCCTACATTCAGTCCTAAAGGGTTATACCTGAAACATTGATTGCTCCTTTCCTCCAGATGCTGCCTGGCCTGCTGTCTTCTCCCAACTTCCTGTTTGTCTACCTTGGATTCCAGCATCTGCAGTTTTTTTTGTCTCTAGACAATTTTGGTCAATCCAATTTCCTATCCATAAACAAGTATACGTCCATGAATTTCTGCAAGTATCTACCTTCAATCCTCCAAAACTGTATTCCTTAAAACAGGTCTTCTGTCATTTTCAAACTCCAAATGTCCAAAGTCATGCTGCACATTGATTATCCTAACTTAACCAGCACTCTTAGCTTTTCTAGGCCATTTTGACTTATTTCTCCTAACACATTTAATTTAAAATTCCAATTACCATAAATTTACTTCAGTCTATGTCTGCAATACAGACACAAACATAGAAAATAGGAGTATGAGTAGGAACTTTGGCCCTTTGAGCCTGCTCTGCCATTCAATAGGATTTTGGCTGATCATCCAACTCAATACCTTGTTCCCGCTTTCTATAACCTTTGATCTCTTTAGGCCTAAGTACTGTATCTAATGTCTTTAACAAATCCAGTTTCTCTTCACACATCAGTCATGATTTAGACAATGAAGAAGGCAAAAGATGTGGGCCTTCATAACAAGAGGATTTGGGTATAAGAGTAGGGATGACTTGCTGCAATTGTACAAGTCCTTGGTAAATCTACACCTGGAGTATAATCTGCCATTTTGGTCTCCTTAGCGGAGGAAGGATGTTATGGTTATGGAGGAAGTGCAATAAAGATCTACCAGACGAACTCCTGAGACAGCAGGACTGATGTATGAAGAGACACTGGACTGGTTAGGACCATATTCTCTGGAGTTTGCAAGAATGAGGGGGATCTAATAGAAACCTATAAGATTAACAGGATTGGGCTGGTTAAAAGCAGGAAGGATATTCCTGCTGACCAGATAGTCCAGCACTGGCGGTCAGTATAAGGATGTGTGTTAGGCCATTTAGGACTGACACAAGGAAGAATTTTTTTCCACACAGAGTGGTGAATCTGTGGAATTCTCTGCCATAGAAAGCAGTTGAATGTTTACAAGGAGATAAATATAGTTCTTAGGGCTGAAGAGATCAAAGGGTACAGGGTGAAAATGGGAACAGGGTATGGAGTTGCGTGATAACCCACGATCATACTGAATAGCAGAACAAGCTCAAACGGCCATATCACTGCCTCCTCTTTGTTCTATTTTCTGTACCACCCCACAAATCAATCTAGTCAACCTACATGCCAGAACATGCCTCCTCATAAGACAAACAAAACAGTACACAATACTCTAGTGTGATCTCACATGCCCTGCTCCTGTACTAGGAATCCTCTCCAATACGAAGGCCAATATACCATTTGTCTTCTTCACTGCCTGCTGCACTAGTATGCAATCTTCCAGGAACTGGCGTACAAGGATACCCAGTCTTGTTACACCACCTCTTTTCTGAATTCCCACTATTCAGAAAATAATCTGTCCTCTTGTTTTTGCTACCAAGGTGGATAATCTCACATTTATCCACATTATACTTCATCTGCCATGCACTGTCTAATCATTCAACTTGTCCAAATCACACTGAAGCATCTCTGCAACCTCCTGACATCTCATCCTCCTACCTGGCTTTGTCCCATCTGCCAACTTGGAGATACTACATTTACTTCCTTCATCTAAATATACATTTAGTGAATAGGTGAGGTCCAAGTACTGTTCCATGTGGTATCGCACTAGTCACTGACTGCCATTTGTGAAAAAGATGCATTTATTCCTATGCTGTCTAACAACAAGTTCTCTATTAATCTTCTTCAGCCTCATTATCTATTTTGAACACTTTGGTCCCATGACTGACTTTGTGTACCATCCTCTCCCTCCTCCAAACAGCAAGCAACCAGGTTTTCCACTTCCATTGTCCTACACGTTCCATAAAATGACCATTTCCATTCAAGCAAAAATCCAATATCTTCTCTTGAATTCAGTGGCATTACTATTGCAGAATTCTCACCAAGAACATCCTGGGGATACTGATCAGAAACCAATCTGGATCAGCCATATAAATATGGGGACCTCAAAACTATGTCATAGGCAAAATATTCTGAGGTGGATAACTGAACTGCTGATGCCTGAAAGCCTGTCCAAAGACAAAAGTCAGGTGTGTGATAGGATAATTTCCATTTGTCTTTGAGTGTCACTCCAACAACACTCAAGGTTTGGCATCATTCAGGATAAAGCAAACCATTTGATCAGCATCTCACCCACCACTTTAAAACTCATCCCTTCACCATTAATTCATAATGGTAGCAGAATATACCTCAATGAAAAAACGCACTGTTGCAACTTACTAAGCGTCTTTTTCCTTGCAGACCTATGACTTTTACCACTTAGGACAAGGGCAGCAGGGGCATGGGAACACTTGTGTTCCCCTCCAAGTAACACATCATCCTGACTTAGAGCCATGTTGTCTTTCCTTCGGTGTCACAGGATCTGGGAACTCCTTTCTCAGTGGCAATGTAGATGTAATGACAGCAGATGGACTGCAGTGATTCAGGAAGGTGCAAACCACCACCTTTATGACATTGAGAGATGGGCAATAAGTGCTGGCCCTGCCAACATTTCATGAAATAATAAAAAGCAGGTTCTTTGTATTATATGTTTTTGAGTTTCAGTTGAAGAGCGAGGTCAAATGTCATTTCTATAATTCTGCTTTAAGAACTTGTGCCAGCAATGTTCATAGTTGTAATGTTTTTATTTAAAAGCAGAAAAGGAAATAAATTTTAATTAATTCAGTCACAGAAGTAACAATTGGTTTTAGAATGTTTACCCACATCATACTAAAATACTGGAAACACTTTTTAAAAGATTTATATAAATATGAAAATCTGATTTAGACAAACTGTGTAACATACGAGAAAAACAGCCAATGTTGATGAGTTTTTACTGCAGAGTGCTTTAAATAAGTTATAGGCTGTCCCTCCATAGAAAGTTAATACAAGCATAATATACAATGATTTTAAAAAAAGGGCCTATAATCACCAAAAACTAAAGCAAAGAGAAACCATTTTAAAGTTTGCTTTCATACAGTGCTTGAATGCATCAATAAATTCATAACACTGTGAAATGAAGCACTTTAAAATTAGAAGGATCTTGTGGTCAATTGTTTGCTTGTGTTGAGTTGGATGACACAAGCAAGATGTGGGGTCATGTCAATGGACCCAATAGAAATGTTGCTCAAGGACAATAAGACTGGGCTGTGTTGTCTACCGTCTCCCATTACACAATTTTAAAACCTGTGAACAGTCACAGTTCAGGCTTAACAGGGCATTAAAGTTAAATTTCTCAAGTTTGCAGAAGATTGCTGTAGCCAAGGTATCGTAACATGCAAGAGGAAGTCTCTTAGAGAAAGAGAATTAAAATTCTCAATGCATAAATTCACAAAAGCAAATTTAAAATACAATATCTCCATATAACAATTATATACACAAGCTTTCAGTTTTCAGGTCACGAGACGGTAATGGTTCAAATCACACCAACGACAAGACATTTCATGCCTCTTCATAATTTAGCTGCTGGTGACAGCATTCTCATGTCTAAATTGCAAAGAATAAAGAAAATGGATCTTGCAAAAACACACCTTCTTACTTGTCGAAGCATGCAGCAACACAGTTTGGCAGAAAAGAATCAGCTACATGGCAAAACAGAGACAGGGCTGCTCCAAAACTTGGAAAGAATAACAACTGGGCAGCTTCAAGATGAGTCCTGTAAAATATGCACATTTTATGAAAAATTGTTAAGCAATTACATTTTAAAGTTTAATTTTTTAAACATTTTTAGGTTTCCAATAACTGATTAGGAAGTGGACCATTGCATCAAACTGATTAGATAAATTAAAAGTAAATTTTCAGCTGTGATTTACAAGTTATAACAAAGCAACTTAGTGCAAAGCAATATAAATGTAAATGAAAGTAGGCATTCACCTTAATTTGATGTGCAATGCATCACACAAGTGCCTGAAATTAGATGTGTTGAAAAATCAGACAAACTATGACCCTATATTGTGAAATACAAGTACATTTCACAAGGCAAAATAGCTTTCTGAAAACTAGGCCAAACATTTGCATTATTACATTAAAATGTTAATTTAGCAGAGTCAGGAATTAGGTGGATGTAGATTAGTATCAGTAATTCACCAGAGTTTTTGATCACAGGAGTATCACTAAAGGGAGTCAGTAACTAGAGGAAGCTGGCCAACAGCAAGTAAGAGTAAAATCATAAAGCCAAGTTGTTTCCATGCAGCACTGAGACATGTGACAGGTAAAATATTTTTCATCTTGGCAAAAATATATCATGATGCAAAGGACATGAAAGAGACAGAGCATAAGAACATGGAAGAGAAACCTGCTAGAAAAAAAGAAAATGAAGGATGAGAGAAAAAATATCATGAACTTGTTCAATTAAAATAAACCTCTGAGCTAACCTCATACTTCAGATTATGGAAACTAACAATAGTTTTATGTGAACACTATGTTCTGGTATTCAAATATTTAATATACTACTATACAGGTGTAGGTGTAGCTATGTTTTTATAATATCTTTGTATGAATTATTATACTGGATGTTTGTTTTACCTCAGCCTTGCTCAACACACTATTCAGGGCATTGTTCTTTAACAGTGTACAAGGGAAACATGGAATAACGAGATTAACTACATAAAAATACATGTAAAATACATTATGTTTAAAAGGAGCACACACAAGCACTGAAATTCAGTGATGGCCACATTTGGAATTATTTAATTTTAAAATGCTATTCCTTATTTTTATAAATTTGACACTGTGAAAGATCATGTTCAGTATGGTATATCCGCAGGCAGCTAATTGACTGGTTAGTTGTAAATGAAAATGAAGTTCTATTTCTCTTTGAATGTAGATATTCAGTTTTTCTTTGTATCCATTAAGGCCACAAGCGTTTGATTCACTATGGACAACTGAAAATATTTCTAATACCTGTTCCCTTTACAGCTAAAGGAGAGGGGGAAAAAAGATGCACTGATTCCACTTGAAAATCATGGTAATGTGTTGACTAAACAGCCTGATTTCCATATCGTTTGGAGTGTTTATGGTTTAAAACAACAATAAAAAAGGAAACGAGAATCACATGCGCATGAGAATAATTTTGTAAATAAAAAATGCTGAAAAAAATTAAGCAGGTTAGGCATGTTTTGAGAGACAGAAAAATCAGAGAAAGTTGGCCAACGACAAAAGGAAGGTGTGTGATGCAAAGCAAAGATTGTCAGAGGAAATCAGATCTCCAGGGTCAAAGGGAATAGTGATGAAGCAAGAAAAGAGTCAAAAGATTGCCCCATCACCATCTGGAGGACTACTTTTTTTTGTCATTTGAACTTTCCTGTCTTCCACACTTCCATAGAACTTTCTTTTGTCCTTGCCCAACCAGCTGTTGCTTAAAACCTACTGACATTTCTAACTTTTCCTTGTTCTGACGAAAGCTCATAGATGTGAAATGTTACTTTTGTTTCTCTCGCAACACATGTTGCCAGTCCTGCTGAGATTTTTCCCCATATTTTTAAACTTTTATTTCAGACTTCTGGAATCCACCTGTATTGTGCTTTAATTATAATTTTGAGACAGATTTGGAAACTACACAAGCATAACAACCAGAAAAGGTGAAAGACTGCTGCTGCCGCCTTATTTTCCTGTGAACAGGATTCCCTATGTCCGAAAGAATTGAAGGTAATGGTAAGGAGGAAATATATTGGCTTTCTTCAACATTTGAGGATGTTTGATGAGGTAATTAAGAAAATCTATTCCTGCTGGCTGACAAATCAACATAATTTCAAGTCTACCACTAAAAGAACAGCTGGAAAACTTAGGCAATTTTTCTTTTAATATCTACATATTTGCTTACATGTGAAATATGCCAATAAACACCAGTAGAAGGACAATCTATAACTACATCTAAAAGAGAAACAGAAACATCTGAAAAGAAAACAGACAAAACTGCACAGATTAAAGAACGAAGTGGATAGCTTTTTCAAAGGACTGACCAATAAATGGGGCCACTTGGCCTAATGTCTGTGCTGTAAAGGTTACTCTACAGTCCAGAGGTTTATTTCTTACAGTTTGGATACCTTGACTACTTTGGTATCTGCATGTTCTCCCACTCATTTACAAGAGTTCAGATAACAGAAACACCATGTGCACTGTAGAGAAAATATATACATTTTTAAAGGAAAAGGACCACAGACCAAATATGCAGATCAACGTCAGCCACGTACTGCAAATCTGATCAATAGTTTGTCTATGTGAATTCTGAGCATGAGAAATTAGTTTCTTGGTTTAATTGCCTTTAAATGAATACATCTACAGTTTTGAAAGAAAGAAAACATTGATTTGAAATTGCCACAACTCAAAGTCACAATGTCACGATTTCCGCCTCTTTTTTGGTGGCTCTTCCTCAGAGCTGCTAATACTACTACTGGAACTAGAGTCAGAATCTGAATCAGAGGAAGATGATTCACTGGATGACGATGTTGACGATGATGAGGAAGTATCAGTTGAGGAACTTTCATCGTCACTGCTGCTGCTCTCTGACGTGGAGGAATTGGATGATGTTTCACTGTCTGAAGATGAATCAGTGGAAGAGGTACTGCTACTGCTGCTACTAACACTCTGAGGCCTTGAAATGAAAAGTGAATATACAAGACAGTTAACTCCTTATTATCCAACAGGTCATGTAAAATCTCCTTACTGGATATCATACAATACATGTATTAGAGGCAGCGTTCCTTTTGTGCTTGTGTTCCTTTTTCACCATTCATTTTGGCAGAAATTCTCCAATATTACTTTCGTAAACAATGCAAATTATTCCAAGTTGCTTGGTATAGGAAAATTCTACCAATTCAACAGATAGCTGCATATTATGCTGACTATAAAGTTAAACACAAGTGTCAGCAATCTAAGAGCTGCATGTCATATCTTTGAAATCATGTAACTGCTCATGTGATGACCATCAATACCCAGCTAATGTGAATCATTTTTTAAAACTACTTGTCATTTGTAGGATCATGCTAGTGCCTAAATTGGCTTTGAAACCTTTTGGAACTTTGTCAGTTTGCACAAAATGCCCTATATAATAACTTGCATTGTTAATGAATCATCAGCCCAGTGCTCCCACTCACCTGAGAGATAAAATGAGCAGGAAAGAAAGGCAAAGACCAATTAAGGGAAAAATAGTTTAGGGATATCCTTCCTTAAACCCAAAGGCTGAACAAATCATGTTCCAGAAGACCACACTGCCAATGAGGTCACCTAACATTGCACCTATCCAGTGTACAGTACCTTTAATCTTAGCTTGAAACCTAACTAGCTCTCTGAATGTTGACAGCGAATTTGTACTGACTGCAAAAGTTGACAATTTATTCTTCTACAAAAAGGAAAACATCCTGACATTTGACATAGTTCTGTATGTACATTTCAAGGTGGCATGCTTTTTCTTCACAACACCCCAATCCAGAATTATCATTTCAGACCAGCATTGCTCTAACAATTTCATGCTGGTGCCACTGTTCCTCCCTGTTCCTCTCAGTGATACTCTTCTGGTCACTGCAAGGTTCAAGACTCCTCCTGCCTGAATATGTAGTGCCAGCCAATTATAGAGAATAACAGAAGATAGAAAGTAGCGTTATTGGAGGAAGAAAAAGAATCAGTTTAGAACTTGGCACGGAGTGGAAATTCCAGATATTACAATCATTTGGCAGATAATTATAGCAAAATGATAGAGAAAAGCTACTGTCAATGTAAATTCCTGGTATCACAATACTAAAGTACAAAGAGGCATTTTGGAACTGGGGTAGAAAGAAAGAACTGGCAGTACTATTGGTACTGGAGAGATGGGAGGAGTGCCGAGAAGTACTGATAAGGTGGATAGGAGCAGGGATATTTTGGGAAAGTACTCAGCAGTCTGGAAATGTTAATAGATACTGTTTGTTCTGTCGGTTATGGGGAAAACGGTAATAAGCTTGCAATTCTCTAAAGCTTACCTTTTCTTCTTCATCTTGTTTTCTATAATTCCTTGTCCACTGTTTAAAGAAAAATAGGTGAATGATTTTAGTTCAAAACTTATAAATGACACTGTACCTAATGGTATACACAATCATGACATTTTATGTACTGCAAACGGTGAAGCAATTTTTTTTTGACAATGTTCACATTCTAAAATTTGGGATGACAACACAATTTTGTATTTTTGAAAATTCCTCCCTGCGCCCCCTAACACAAATTTATTTTGAAAACTGTATCTATAAAATCCACATACAAAAAAAGCCAATTTTAAAATTCAATCTATTTGAGCACCAGCAAAGACCAAAACTTAAAGTAGTTTATTGTTGAGAAAGACCACAAGTTTTAAAGCAGAGATATATTAAAAAATTTGGGCTTTGTCACCAAAATATTTAGGGCTGCCATGGAGTTCCTGCAAGCCTAATGGCATTTTATTCCCCCAACCCTCCTGAAAAGGGAACAACTTTTAATCGCAGTATGGCTCCCTGTCAACCCAGAACTTTCCAGGGCATAATGTATGCATGAGCCTACAGCAAATCTCATAGCTGTGCCATTATTAGCACACTCACAGTTCCTCAATGGATAAATTATCACTGGACTGATAATCCAGAGGACCAGGTAATTTTCTGGGGACCCAGGTTCAAATCCTGCCACAGCAGATGGTGGGAATTTGAATTCAATAAAGATCTGGAATTAAGAATCTAATGTTGACCATGAATCCACTGTTGATTGTTGGAGACAAAAAATAAAAAAACATCTGGTTCACTGTCTTTTAGGGAAGGAAACTACTGTTCTTACCTGGTCTGGCCTACATGACCCCAGACTCACGGCAATGTGATTGACTCTTAACTGCCCTCTGTGCAATTAAGGATGGGCAATAAATGCTAACCTAGCCAACAATGCCCTCATCCCATGAATGAATAACAAAAAATGCAAACCTTAGTTGACTGTCTCCCTCACTAGTTTGAGGCCTCAAAATTCAACTATAGTGTGCCTACTATTCCCTTGGTTATCTATTCACTCTTCAAAGATAGAGATAAATGATTTAGCTCCAATCATCATCGCAGTGATACAGTTTTAAAGTGAACAAGGTTGGGAAATAAAGATTCCAGAGTACACAACATTTTGAAAAGATGGGAAAAATGGAAAAGGAGAAAGGGTAGTCCTAGTAATAAATGATGATATTGGGACATTAGTGAGAAAAGATCTTGGCTCAAAAACAGAAAGTAGAATCATGTAGGCAAAGATTAGGAATAGCAAGAGTTAAGAAACATGGTTGGGGCAGTTTATATCGCACCCTCACCCACTCGAGCTGTAGTTGTGTCATTGGATACAGGATTGAATAAGAAATTATTGGCATTTGTAACAAAGGTGATGAAATACGGCAGTCCCTGGGTTGTGAACAGATTCCGTTCCGGAGTCTGTTTGCAAGTCAATTTGTTCACAAGTCAGAGTACAATTCAGGACAATGGAAAGCAGCCGTTTGTAAGTCCAGGAAATGTCTCTGTCAGGGCTTTAAAATTCAAAACATATACAGGATCGCATTCGTAAGTATAAGCGTTTGTAAATCGGGACAGCCGTAGCGATAATTGTTGAATTTTCATACAGACTAGACAAAGCATATTGCTAAAGAGGTCTGTAGGCTAAGTTTGTAGAATGTTTTTGTGACTGTTTCCTGGAGCAGCATATTGTGGTATCAAAAGATGAAACTATTTTAGAACAAGTATTGTGCAATAAGGCAGTTTAATTTGTAATGTCAAGTAAAATATCCTTTAAAATTGAATTCCACATTAATCTGAAAACACCGTACTCCAATCACAAAGAAGAAGTTTAAACAATACCAATTATATAGGTATGAGTAGACATCTAGCTAAAGTTGATTGGATAAGTAAAGTAAAATGTATATTGGTAAATAAACAGCAAGAAACATTTCAGGAACAATTCAAAATACGCACCAAAACACATTCCATTGAAAAATACAAATTCAGCAGGAAAGATCTGTAGATGCATTCCTAAAGAGATTAACGATAATATTAAATTGTTTTTCATTTGCTCATGGGATATGGGCATTGTTGGCAATGCCAACATTTCTTACTCTGCATTAATTATCCTTGAATTGAGTGGCTAGCTGCATCATTTCAGACAGCAGTGAAGAATCAAACACATTACAGTGGGCTTAGTGTCATATGTAGGCTTTATCAGGTTAAGGACAGCGGATTTTTTTTCCTTTAAAGGCACTAGTGAATCAGATGAGTTTTTTATGACAGTTTCATGGTCACCATTACTGAGACCACCTTTCAATTCCAGATTTTTAGTGGAAGGATGTTGCAAAGAACAGTAGTAAGTCTGAGGATGGAGAGCTATTTCAAAAACCAGGGAAGGCCATTGCCCCACAAGTGAAAACATCCTCTCCACGTCTACTTCGCCAATCCTCTTGAGCCTCCATTTGATCTCGCCTCATTCTTCTAAACTCTAGAGCATAAGCCTAAACTACTTAATCTGTGTCCAGTTCTAGTTGCCCAGTTATAGGAAGGATATTATTAAGCTGGCGAGGGTTCAGAAGAGATTTACCAGGACGTTGCCAAGTATCAAAGGTTTGAGTTATAAAGAAAGGCTGGAACATTTTTCACTAGCATGTAGGAGGTTGACAGGCAACCTGATAGAAGTTTATAAAATAAGAGCGGTATGGATAGAGTTTATGGTAGTTGTCTTTTCCCTAAGATGGGGGATTTCAAGACTAGGGGGGGAAACATTAAGATAAGAGGAGGGATATTTAAAAAAAGACATGAGGGGCAATTTTTTTTTGAAAACACAGAGGGTCGTTTGCATGTGGAATGAACTTCCTGAGGAACTGGTGGATGTGCGTACAATTACAACGTTTAAAAAAACGTTTGGATAAGTACATGAATAGGAAAGGTTCGGAGGGATATGGGTCAGGAGTAGGCAAGTGGGACTAGTTTAGTTTGGGAACATGGTTGGCACGGACTGGTTGGACTGAAGGGTATGTTTCCATGCTGTATGGCTCTATAAGACACCCCCACACATTTCGAATCAATCTAGTGAATTTCTGCTGAACTGTCTCCTGTGCAACTACATCCTTCCTCAAAAAAAAAAAAGGGGACCAAACCTGTATGCATTATTCCAGGTGCAGTCTCATTCATGCCTTTTACAAATGCAACAACACTTCCCTACTTTTGTGCACTATTTCATTAGCAATAAATGCCAAAATTCCATTTGCCTTCCTTATTATTTGCTGTAGCAGCAGATAAGTTCTCTGCGATTCATGAATAAGGACGTCCAGATCCCTCTTCCAAAGCAATGTGAAGTTTCTCTCCAGTTAGATAATGCTGCCTTTCTACTCCTCTGACCAAAATAGATAATCTGTCACTTATCCACTTCAAACTCCATCTGACAAATTTTGGCCCATTTGCCTAACCTATTCATATCCACTTGTAAAATTTGTTATTTCTTTATTGCAACTTACTTTTACTGCCCCACCTATTTTAGTGTCATTTGCAAATTTGGCTATAATAGCTTCTATCTCTGCTCCCAAGTGATTAATATAGATTGTAAACAGTTGGGGGACTGAGAACCGAACTCAATGACACTCCACTCGTTATATTTTGCCAACCAGTAAAAGACTCATTTATTCTAACTTTCTGCTAGTTAGCCAAACCTGTTCATACCTGTGTACCTTTGCTTAACTAGAGAATCCTGGTGTGGAACTCCAGTTTCTTGTCCTCAAACTAAATTTGAAATTCTCATATTCTAAGATCACTCTCCACTTGAGGATCCTTTACCATGAGATCATTAAATAATCCCACCTCGTTGCACAATACCAAAATCAAGAATAGCCCGCTCCCTGGTTGGTTCCCCAACGTATTGCTTCAAAAAAAACTCTAATACATTCAATGAGACTACCCTTGCCAATTTAATTAATCCAGTGTATACACATTTTAAAATCACCCATGCTTATTGTCTTAATTTTCTTACAAGTATAAACCAGGAAATACTGCACCCCACTCCATGACTACTGTTTGGGGACTTGTAGATTACTCCCCCCAGCGACTTCTTTCCCTTGCCATTTCTTATTTCTACGTGGACTGACTCTATGTCTTGATTTCTTGTGCCGATATCATTTCTCACTACAGCAACTAACAAAAGTACACAACCTACTTTTCCTTCCGACTTATCATCCTGAAACAGGAGGTGTACACTTCAATATTTAATTCCCAAACCTGATCTTAACACAATTCAGATGCAGCCTGTCCACTGGAACAGCTCTTCCACCCCCCCGAAGTATTGGTGCCAATATCCCATGGATTCAAAACCATTTTTTCCCCACACCAATCTTCTAGTCGTGTACTCACTTCTTTAATCTTTTGACTTTGTGTCAATTAGTAAGTGGTTCACGTAGTAATCTGGAGATGACTACCTTTTGGTTCCCTAGCTGCCCATACTTCCCCAGCAAAACTTGTTCTATATTTACCTATATTGTTGGTACCTACATGGTCATGACAACTGGATTTTTCTCCTCACACTCCAAGTTCTGGATGAGATATCCTGAACCCTGGCACCAGGTAGGCAACACAGCCTTTAGGTCTCTAAATCCTAGCCACAGAGAATGATGTCTATGCCCTTACCAATACTATCCCCAATTATGACTATATTTCTCTTCCCTCCCCCCACTGACTTGTTCCCTGTATCATGGTGGTTGAACAAATATTTTGTTACTGTCTTTGCAATCCAAGAAGCAGGGGGTAACCTACAAGCAAAAAGAGTGACGTAATTAAGGTAATTAATATCAGCCTTTATTGCATGGGAATTGGAATATAGGAATAAAGATGTATTGCTACAATTGTGCAGGTGTTTGATGAGATCATACCTAGGAAATTTTTGTCTCCATATTGAAGTTAGGCTATTGCATTGGCCACTGTGCAGTAAAGAATCACTAGATTGGACCTATACTCTATAAAGTTTAGAAGAATGAGGGCAGAATTGATGTCAAGATATTGTTTCTCCTCATTGGATAACCTGGAAAACAGCGATACGGGTTAGGACTATGGAGACAATCAATGGCATAGCAAGCTCAACAGGCCTTACAGTCTTCCCCATTCCCATTTCTTATGCAGCAGACTACAGATCAAAGTAGGATCTTCCTGGTTCACATGCCTCAGGCCCCCCACACATTGTATTCATTCACTAAGCTATTAAAACAGATTTTAATATGAAATAACACTTACCTTGGTGGCAATGCAAGTTTATTTTGTTTTTCTTTCAAAGTCTTCTTTAATTGCACTGTTCTTGAGGGTCTGTGCAGATACTTCCGTTTTCCAGTGCACTCATAGGTCCAATGGCCATATTCTAAACATTTCTGACATCGAACGTGCTGTTTATTAGCTTCTCTGAAGCAGAAAAACCAGGGTACAGAATAGATGAATTGATGAAAGGCATCATCCACAGCGTTATCAATCAACACCTGCTCAGCAACACCCAGTTTGGGTTCTGCCAGGGCCAATCAGTACTTGGCCTCATTACATCCTCGATTCAAACATGGACAAAAGAATTGAATTCCAGCGGTGAGGAGAGAGTAACTACCCTTGACATCAAGGGCTCATTTGATCAGTTGTAGCATCAAGGTGCCCTGGCAAAACTGAAGTCAATGGGAACCTGGGGGAAAACTCTTTGCTGGTTGGAGTCATACCTGGCATATAGGAAGATAGTTGTGGTTGCTGCTGGTCAGTCATCTGAGCTCCAAGATATCTCTGCACGAGTTGCTCAGGGTAGTGTCCTCAGCCCAACCATTTTCACCTGCTTCATCAATTACCTTTCCCTTCAACAAAAGGTCAGATGTGGGGATATTCACTGATGACTGCACAATGCTCAGCACCACTCACATCACCTCAGAAACTGAAGCAGTCCACGTCCCAATGCAATAACCATCTCCAAAAAGAGACAGAGACAATCTAGTAATTGCTCCTTGACATTCAATGGCATTGCCATCACAAAAGCTCCTATTATGAACATCCTGATGGTTACCATTGAAAACTGAACTGGACTAGCCATATAAATAGAGGATTCTCCTCCGATGATTTTCCTTAGTTGTCAAGTCAGGAGGACTGCCTTTCCTTGGTTTTACATTTCACTATCTGTTTGCAGGAAGGAATTATCAATCCAAGAATTCCCTGCTTTGGCTCAACATCTAATTTTTCCTCATGTTTCTGAATGCCTTGGGTTGCCTTTCTACACTGCAGATGCTAATACAGGTGCAAGTTATTGTTGTACTCCAACCACCAACTTCAATCAATACAGACCAGTTTTCCTTGCGTTTGATGTAAAATATTGGAATCAGTTGACAGGAGCAAACTTGAGGGTTATTTGAAAAAAAAGTCTAGTAAACCATAATAATGTCAAAAGGGAATTTTTGTCCATACAAGTTCTTTAAGCTTACAGAGGAACTGACAACTCCAAATGGACTAGAGAAATCCTTTAAATGAGTTTCCAAAAGGCATTTCAGAGTTTTATCTGAAACAGCTGAAAATCGTGGCAACCCAAAGTAAATCATGAGAATTAATGAGATCAACTGAGGATGTAAAGCAACAGGTGCTTGTTGAAACTGACATATCACAGAGGATACCAATATTGAGCTACTCTTCTCCATTGAATACCTCTCCCACAGCACCAACTTGATAATGTGATCCTAAAATTGATGCAAATTAACCAAAATTTCCAATAGAAAGATCCAAAAGAATCAAGGCTACAACTTTGAAATTACACAGTAAGGGTGAAAATGAAAACGGGTGATGAAATTTGTTACAGGCATTTTGAAGTTCTGCGTGAACAGTGTTGAATAAAACAGAATTGAACTTGTGGAACAGCAAACAAAAAAAAACTGAATACTGAACTGCATAGCTAAAGTAAGTGGGAGGGGATGAAGATTAAGTTACTCAATACATTGATCAGATTGCATCTTGTGTACTGTATCCTGACAAATGTGGCATTCAAGCTATCAATGCATTTGGTCTGAATTATAAGGAGTGACTGGAGAGTATGAATAGGAAGGGTTTAGAAGATATGGGCCAAATGCTAACAAATGGGACTAGGTCAGATTGGGATATTTGGAATGCATGGACAAGTTCAACTGAAGGGTCTGTTTCTGTGCTATATCACTCTATGACTATGCTCCTGGGCATTTTATCCTGCAGAAAAACTACTTGAAAGATGACTGTGAAACACTCAGAATACTTAAGGGTTTTGAAAAGTTAAATTGGAGTTGTACTTTAAGTAACATGGGAAAACAAGTCAAATTAGAAAATAAATTTAACATTTAAGAATGTTATTGTTAAATACAAAGTACCCGTATCGACTGGAATGTTTAAAAAATGTATAAATACATGGGGAAAAAAATGCATCCAGTTAGTAGTGTGCAGGCAAAACAAAATGCTTAGAATTAGAATTTTGGATGGGCAAAACTAAGTTGGTCATCCCGATATATAATTGTGTTGTGAGTTCTTCAAAAAGCCTGAAGTAGTTACGCGACAATCTTTGTTTTTAACGACCAGCAAGTTTCGTGGACAGCACTGAAGATTTTCGACATAATCGTAGGATACGTTACAAACTAACCGAAACCAGATTTTGTTTTTAAAAAAAATCAGAAAGACTCACAAACCCTGATCTGAAGCGACACTCGCTTACTGGGAGTTTAAAATACATTGTACTTATGTGTGGTACTCTCGATGATAATTCACATTTAACCGAGTTTGTAATGCGTCCTCACGCATGAGGATTAACTTCACCGCTGAAATACTCTTCATGATAACAGTTCTCTCCGAAGCCTTGGCGTCTTTCCTCGCCGCCTGTGGAATTTAACCACACTCCATTTCAAATGGGAAACATCTGGGGCTTGTGGCTAGAGCATCTCCGAGGCCCTGGCCTGAAGGTGAAACCTGCCTCACACCTCCCATTTATTTTACAGCCCTCCCGCCGACGCTGCTTTTACCTCGAACCCATCTACCCACATCTTGGAAAGCAGCCACTTCAGTGTCGAAAGAAGAACCATTGGCGGTTCTAGAAGCTGAATACTCACGCTTGTCTGCGAGCGATCAGTCTGTGCATAGGCGTCGCCATCTTGGTTTCCCGAAATGCATCGGGTCCGTCACTAAGCAACAGCCCTGAACGTTGAGCTACCTCAGGCCTGAGCATCCAACAAAACTAGATTCACCTCTTAGTCACTGGGGAGGGTAGGCTAAGACTACCATTCTCACCTTTACGTCGTATTTAACCAACGCATTTCAAATCAAGCCGCTCTGTTTAGGTCCTATTTAATTAGCGACCTCACATTGTTAGTGTGTGCTTTGCAACTGCTTGTGCATCATGCTATGAACACTTTGCCTCCTTGAGGGATCGGGGTGAGTAGGCTGGATATTGGGAATTAGGGCTAAAAAACACACACATTTCTAATCAACCTGTACAGAGACGTTGTTACACATCTCGGGAGTAGGCTTAACAGTTGGTGTTGAGTTTAGGAGGTTTTCTTTATTATTCATTCACAGGATATGGGTGCCATGAAACAGTACAAACTCAGGAACACTTGGACATGATCATATCAAAGTTTGGTTTTCAGGTTTGACCTGAATGCCGTCATTTCTAAGTGGTGCTGTGCTGCTTTTCTGTTCTAGGAGGCTATGCTGTATTTGTTGTTTAACCTTAATTGTTCTTGAGAAAATGGGATGAACTATCTTCTTGAACATTGAATGTTAAGGGGCGATAGTTTTATATTCTCTTGCTGGAGATGGTCATTTCCTGGCAGTTGTGTGGTGGAAATGTTATTTACTCCACTTTGTTGTTTGAGGGGCCATGAACGCAGTATCCAAATTCTTTCATAGACTGTATCATTGGCCAGGCTAGCATTTGTTGCCCATCTCTAATTGCCCTTGAACTGAGTGATATGCAAGGTCATTTCATAAGGTATTTGAGGTCCAACCACAATGCCATTTTTGTGGGTATGGGGTTACAAATAAACCAGATCAGGTACAGAATGTTTTGTCACCACCTTTGGAGTGAAGCACAGCCTATAAGAGCTTAACATGCAAACGAGCCAAGTACCTATCTGTTAATACATGACGACAGATGATGCAATGCATCTATGTCATTTTGGAATGGAAGCCACAAACATTTTACCTGTTGGAAGTGAACAGACTAACAATAGTGGAATTCAACATTGTGACCATCCATGAGATCACCAAGGCATCCATGGCAGCAGAACAATCAAGAATGCTCACATTGCATCAGTCTAGGATTTATACCAACTGTACCCAGGCAGATTCATTGCAGTAAGAAGTTTCAAAGGCAATGCCATATTGCACTTCAAAGAAGATGCAATTCCATCAATTGACCCTCCCAGAAAGTGTATTCACAAAGAAGAAATGCTTAAGTGTGAGTTAGATTACATGAAATGCAATAGCATCGCCATTGTGCGGATTACCACAAAGTGATGCAGTTCAGTTAGAATGAAGGATCATGCAATATTGTATACAGATCTGAGATGTCTAAACCTCTCCTGAAACAGATATCCATAAAAGATTCCAACACTAGAAGAGTTGAATTCTAAATTCATAAGAGCTAAATTCTCCTCCAGGCTGGACGCTAAACATTGATATTGGTTGGTATCGCCAAGGAATCTAAGGAAGTCACTATTTTCACAGCACTATTTGGAAGATTTTGCACACAGAAGCCAACTTTCAGTTTGTTTTTCAGTCAAAAGATATCTCAGCAGCATATAGACAGAATTACAAAAAGTGTGCCCGAACGCATATGCATTGATAATGTCCTTGTGGTAATAGGCAAAAGCAAAGAAAAGCATAACTGAAAGCTTTGCTCACAGGGCAATAGCTCTCCAAAAACAGTTCATTTTCAGCAGGAAAAAGTGCCAGATGCATATAAATCAACTTCATTTGTTTTGGCTTTACATGTTCAAGTTGTGGAATCTGTCCCAACTCAGACAATGGTGATGATATAAGACAAATGCCTACCCCACATGACAACAAAGACCTACAGAGATGCCTTGGATTCTTCAACTTCTTGCACAATACATTCAGACCTTTCCATTAAAGCATTATCACTGAGAGAGCGCCCAAAAAAATGTCAAACCATCTTTATGGCAGAAGGACTGTTAGACTACTGAGATAATACATGGACTCTTAGATTTCTGCACTTGTAAATCTTACAACCCTAATTCTGGATAATTACTTCTGTTTTTAACCAATTTTATGTGCTTTCACTTACGCCGTAGAAGAGCTATCTTTGGAACAAGGGGATATTATCATCCTTAGAGTGAATCCCTTTAAAAGTTTAATTTAATGTAATGAGTCAAGTACCCAAATGTTGTTACACAACTATACACTCTCTGAAGCACTGTAGACCCAGGCCGTGGCTGGGAATTATGCCGAATTGCATATAGTAGTTTAGCTGTAAATAAACTCACCATTGGTCTCTCAGTAAATAGAAGCCATGTACTTTATTTATGTTAGTTATAGATAACACAAGAATGTTATTTCCTATTTGTTTCCAAAAGGAAGCCAGACAGCTTTTTACAATGATCACATTATGGCACTACTAGACTTAACTTTTAATTGCAGATTTTCTTAATTGAATTCAAATTTCAATATCTGCTGTGGTGGAAGTTGAACACAAAACTCCAGACCATTAACGTAGGCTTAACCTGGATTACTAACCCAGTAACAACGCCATCATACTACTACCTCCCCGAAACAACAATTGTCGAACATTTTACAATCATCAACAAACATCCCCCCACTCCCACCATATGATTGAAAGAAGGTTATTGCTGAAGTAGCTGAGGACTCCTGCAGCTTTGCCCTGGGACTGAAATGATCGACTTTCAACAATTGCAACCATGTTCCTTTGTGGTCAGTATGACTCCAAACAGCGGAGAGTTTTTTCCCTGATTCCTACTGACTTCAGTTTTCTAGGCTGCTGTTACTATGCTCGATTTGTCTTGGTGTCAAGGGATTTCATTCTCACCTCACACTGGTTGTCAAAGTTAAAGGTAAGATTCGTGGTTGACATTTGCGTTATGGGTTAGTGCTATCATTATAAATCACTAATGGTCCAACGTTTTCGAATTGGCTTCGGGCAAACATTTCTTTACAGTCTGCAATAAAAATATTTCCAATTGAAATTCTGCTGCAGTTACAGGTAACAATGCTTGTTGTATATTGAAAAATGTGAATATTTTGCTATATAACCTCTCTGTTTGTTGCTATTTCGATGAAGTGTAAATAAAGTTATTTCAATAATGGCCACTGCCGTTGAGCTTGTGCTAATTTTATTCAGAATGTAATATATAGGGGAAAGATGAAATTTTCTCTTCTTTTTCATTTGTGAAATTAAGGACAGAGGTACATTGTGACACATTGTTTGAATTCCTAAAATTGAAATTGAGGAAGTTTGAGCAATTTGAAAATTTATCCATGTGCAATTCATATGCTGGTTCATAGTGAGTCAGCACAGTATATAATTGAAAAATGCTACTGATTGCATTTGGGTACAATGGGGAAATTCAGTCCTTTCAAATAGGACTGATGTATCTAAGAATGAAAGCTACGCATTTGGCTAAAAGCAAATAAAGGTAAGAGATGAGGATTAGATAAATGATTTCCTTACCATGATGGCATCAAGCACTTTTATGGTGTCTAACTTTTTGACTGGTGTCTAAACAGTGTTGTCTGTGTGACCTCAGTTCAGTGGACTATGCTGAAATTCACGAGATTGCATTATGGCACAACTGAGAATGAATTCACACTGAAAGTTGCATTCCATAAATGGAAGCTGTTTCCAACTGAGTCATACAGATTACATTCTCGAATTAAAGAATCTCTCTCACCATTGTGGCCGGAAAGTGAGGTGTGGATTTTGAAATACACATTAGAGACATGCTGATGAGCAGTTTGAAAAACACTAAAACCCAGCCCAAAAGTTTGAGTGAAAACAATAGGTTAACATGGAATGAGTCCTGTAATGAGGCCACAGCCACAGAAATGGCAGAAGATAATTGCATGTGAATTCTTTTCCTAAGCCAGCAGCAGAGGTCCAACAGATTTCAGTGAGATACGGGTCACAGTTGTCATGTTCACTGTCTCTGAGTTAGAATTTTAGATGCTACTGTTACCATGTTGGCTATCAAGCATTAATGCCCTATTTCCAGCATACCTTTCGGAAGGTTGGTCATATTCAAATTGAATGTAAGTGTAAAGGAGCAAGTAATGCTTCAGTTTGTTGGAACTGTTGCAGCCATGCACCAGGCCAAGTTTGTAGTAGACTTAAACCTCATTCAGGGGTCTGGAAATCATCAAAGGTACAGGAGATAGCTAAGAAAAGCGAAGTTGATTTTATTATTCAAGTAGATCAAGAGTTGTTTTAAGTCAGAAATAAAGAAAAACAGCACATGGAAGATGAGAATGGTTGAGCTAAACCTGTCCTGCTAGCACCCACTATAAAAATTAAATTTAATCATTCACAACTTGCATTCTAGGTGAAGTTAGTAATAGAGTGGAATATGGTGATGGATCTTATTTATTACCAGTGGTAGCGGTAAGAGAGAACAAAGTTTCCCTGTTAGGAAGAAACTAGCTGAAGAAGATACAATTAAACTGAAGGAAGTTTTTCACAATAGGATATCTGTAAGACTGTCTGAAATTGAGGAACCGCTAAGAGAGCACAAAATGATGTTCTAGCAAAAAGGGCCAACTGGTATAATTAGCTAGAGACAAAAAAAAATGCAGATGCTGGAATCCAAGGTCGACAAACAGGAGGCTGGAAGAACACAGTAGGCCAGGCAGCATCTGGAGGAAAGGAGCAGTCAACATCTCTGGTATCACCCTTCTTCAGGACTGGATGTGGGGGTAAGGGGAGCTGCAGATAAAGCAGGGGAGGAAGGGTGGAGGCAAAATGGTGGTGATAGGTGAACACTGGTGGTAAGTATGACCTGTTTGATCGATGGGAGGGATGAATCCTGTTGGTGGCTGGAAACGAGGGTCAGAAGATGGAATGGAAGGGAGGAGGTGGGGCTGGAAGTGGAAGCGGGGGACAGGTGGCAAGGTTATTTGAAACTGGAGAACATAATGTTGTGTCTTCTCGGCTTTAGGGTGCCCAGGCAGAAGATAAAATGTTGTTCTTCAAATTTGCGTTCCAAGTCGCTGTTACACTGGAGGAG